TGCAAACCTCGAATTCCTCCCAAAAGCCGGCTTTTCCGAAGTTTTGGACGTTCTCTTTGGTCAACACTTTGACTCTGTTCTCGATGGTTGAGGCAGTGATTCGGGTGGCATTGAATGGGTTCTTGAGATGGACAACAGTTCCCGTGGTCTCAACCATTGGGTTCTTCTTGTAGTGTTCGACCAAATCGCTCAAAGAGTCGAACTTATCTCCACCGCCGACATCGAACTTCTGGTCCTGACATCGGATCATAACGTGAGTGACTTTGTCGTCGGTACGTACGGTGAGCACGTAATCGCCGGGTTTGCTCTGACTCTCGCGCACTAAGAAACTGCCGTTTTTGCCCTTTTCCAGCACCAGTCTCTCGGCGTCTTTGCCGGACAGCGGGCCGTGAAACCAGCGCTCGGATGTCGGGTCCGACGAGTTGAGGGGAAACTTGAGTTCAATGACTTCGCCGTTCTTCTCCTTCAGTTGTCCCATGTTTTCCATATAGTACTGAACCAATTCAGCCAAAGTGGCGAACTTCTCGCCGCCGTAGAGGTCGTAGTAGTCGCCGGTGTTCTGGATCTTTATGTGCGTCACCTGACCGTTGCGTCGCACCGATAGCGTGAAGTCTCCCGGATTGGACTTCGAGGGCCGCGCCAGGAAACTCCCCTCAAAGCCCCTCTCCATCAACATCTTCTCCGCGTCCACTCCCGAGATGTTTGGGTGAAACCATCGCCCGTGACTGCCATCACATCATACATAACCACAATTACTAACACATTGTCACAGCCGAGACATCACACCTACACCTCACTGTCAGCACTACATCCACGCCAACCCTCACCTACGCTGCCCTCCCTTCCCCTCCCATCCCTTAATTCAATGCATATTCACGCAAATCATGCCTTCAATTGGTATTCAATCGGCGATTGAATGACAACTGCAGACAATGTGACCGTCACTGCACTCATTGATAATCAAAGACATGCTAATCACGCAATTCAGACCTTCTCGTAGACATGATGTGGTGATAATCAGTGGTAATCTCTTGTGGGTTATCGTCTTAAATGGTGATGCGTTGCGACTAAGAGATCATAATTGGCTGAATGAGTGGTGCAAGCGATGAATCGGTGGTCAGTTGTCAACACATCCCATGTGTGGCGTTCAGTGTTGTCTTCACACCAAATCGTCTTAAATGGTGATGCGTTGCGACTAAGAGATCATAATTGGCTGAATGAGTGGTGCAAGCGATGAATCGGTGGTCAGTTGTCAACACATCCCATGTGTGGCGTTCAGTGTTGTCTTCACACCATATGATCACTATTTGGACGATATTTATGTCAATCAATACATTCAATACTGTATTGAATGCGAGTTATGCTGAGAGTGTGTATTGTTTGCGTCACTCATATGTTGAGCAACAGTTAGTTTTCCACCATTTTATCAATTATTACATCAAATCCCCACAACTACTGCTCTCCCGATCCCCACCCCTCCCCCTCCCCTCTCACACATTCATCACTACTGTACTACTCTATTACATAACCGTATTGTAAACAAATCATACGAGCCAACCAACATAGGCACACGAATATCATATAGTCAGTATAGAAAGGTACCAAATTCTGAAGGCCAACATTGAATTCATTGGCTTTTTTTAATACGAAGACTTGAATAATGTGTGCCACTCTTCCCCCATACTCTCACATATAGTATTTACACAAATATCGTCATTCAATAGAAATTTACCTAATCTTTCTATCCTCCCCTGAACTTTAAAATTGTACTAGTTTACTAATTAGTAATTACAATTGTAAAATAATTTACGTTTAGTAAACCACGAAAATTGTTGTATCACCTAGGTTATATCAGTAACTATTTATATATTTAAGATTATAACATATCTTAAAAATGAATCAACTTTAATCTACTGTATAGTAATAAATGATTACATTGCTTCGAAATTGGAATAGTGCAAGACATGTAGCTAGGTCACTGTATAAATGGTCACTTGTGGTCAACTCATAGCTAACTTTAAAAGTATATATGAGGTCCTAATAAGTGATGTGACCCTAACTTCTTGCGCGTAAACCAATTGATACTAATATATGAATGAGTGGTGAGGAAGTGGGTGTCAATTGTTACGGGACTTCTAGTGAACAGAACTCATGTCTTCTAATCACTTCTTAAGCAAGTGATGGTCGGTAATGAGTGCTAAGAGACATATGACTAGAATCGGTGTGAATGACACCACTCATAGCGGTAGTAGTGAGAGGTGACAGGAGTGACCACTTGTAGAAAGTGTCAAAACTTTGTGAGTGCTGTTAAATGGCTCGCTATGAATGCATTGAATCATTGATTGATTGTTGAATGACTGCATGAATGGTGAACTCGAGCCCAGTGTTCAGGTGTAGAGTAGTATGAATAGTGTAGTACTGTAGTAGTGGTATACTGTACTGTATTAGTGCTGTTTGGCAATGCATGTACAGCACAGTTCATGCAGTAATAGTGTCGACGAGTGTAATGCTTATGCATTGGTGTATGCATTGGCGTAATGCTGGTTATGCTTGTAATGGTGTAATACCTGTTAGTGTGTTGGCACTGGCAGTGGTTGTGTGGCAGTGCACTGTTGGGCAGTAGTGGTAGGGCTGGCATTCGTGTATGTTTGGTGTAGTTGTGTTCATTGGCATCGCTGTCAGTATTGTTCATACTGCTTGTGTCCACGTTTGCCATTAATTGTCGACTCTGTGTAGCGTTCATCTCATCCTCTTTCATGTCTTTGATGTCCTGTTGATGTGAGACATATCTGTACTCTAACTGTGCTCTCACTGTACTCGTCGTCCATGTATGGTATGTGTGACTGTCTGTCAGGTGTGTTAGATCTGTCCCATCCATTCTGAAGACCATAGTTGACATCCAGATTGTGCGAGCGTCTCAACACAAGGCATGTCTTAGTAACCATCCATTGACTCACGAGTCGATTCAATGCCAAACAAATGAATGCAAAGTCATTGCAATCGATATAACAGTAAAGTAGAGAATAAGCGCAACAAGTATTGCATGTATTGATAGCCAACTGAGAGACCAATCCATTGAATCGATTGACACGATCGCCACGACTGATCCGTTGCCGGCACCCATCACCACGTCGTCCACAATGAGTGCGAACAACGGGAACGCCGTCTCTCCCCAACCGGTCGTAATGGTGACCAACAACGGGGTCCGCGAGCCGGACGGCGACGCCATTAAGATGTTTGTCGGACAGATCCCACGCGATTGGAGTGAATCCGATTGTCGCAGACTTTTCGAGGAGTTCGGCGAAATCCACTCAATCAATGTGTTGCGAGACAAGCAGTCCGGACAGAGTAGGGGCTGTTGTTTCGTGACGTACTACACGCGCCGGTCGGCCCTCCAGGCGCAGGACGCCCTCCACAACGTGAAGACCCTGACATCGATGCACCACCCAATCCAGATGAAGCCCGCCGACTCCGAGAACAGGAATGAACGCAAACTCTTCGTCGGCATGTTGTCCAAGAAGTACACCGAATCGGACGTACGGCTCATGTTTGCCGCCTATGGAAACATCGAGGAGTGCACTGTCTTGAGGGACACCAACGGCCAGAGCAAAGGTAGGGCTCAGTTGACAGCTTTGTCTTATTATTGTCTTATTGTATGCCATGACTGTTTCATAATCACTGACCACTGGTGTGTCTGCCATAGGCTGTGCTTTTGTCACCTTTTCGACCCGTCAGTGTGCCATCAATGCCATCAAAGCCATGAATCACTCGCAAACAATGGAAGGCTGTTCGTCGCCTCTTGTGGTGAAGTTTGCGGACACACAACGAGATAAAGACGCGCGAAGGCAGCAGCAGATACTGATGCAACAGTTGTGTCACTCATCGCAGCCCAACCCGGCGGCGGCGACGTTAGCGGCGGCCGCAGCGAACCCCTACCTGGCACTGGCGGCCGCGGCGGCAGCTCAACAGCAACAGGTCCAGCAACAGGCGCAACAGCAACAGAACGCATTGGCCGCGGCCGCCACTCTCGCCATTCAGCAACAACTCGTCTCTTCGATGAACNCTTTTAAAGTTAGCTATGAGTTGACCACAAGTGACCATTTATACAGTGACCTAGCTACATGTCTTGCACTATTCCAATTTCGAAGCAATGTAATCATTTATTACTATACAGTAGATTAAAGTTGATTCATTTTTAAGATATGTTATAATCTTAAATATATAAATAGTTGCTGATATAACCTAGGTGATACAACAATTTTCGTGGTTTACTAAACGTAAATTATTTTACAATTGTAATTACTAATTAGTAAACTAGTACAATTTTAAAGTTCAGGGGAGGTTAGAAAGATTAGGTAAATTTCTATTGAATGACGATATTTGTGTAAATACTATATGTGAGAGTATGGGGAAAGAGTGGCACACATTATTTAAATCTTCGTATTAAAAAAAGCCAATGAATTCAATGTTAGCCTTCAGAATTTGGTACCTTTTTATATTGACTATATGATATGAGTGTGCCTGTGTTGGTTGGCGAGTATGATTTGTTTACAATACGGTTATGTAATAGAGTAGTACAGTAGTGATGAATGTGTGAGAGGGGAGGGGGAGGGGGAGGGGTGGGGATCGGGAGAGCAGTAGTTGTGGGGATTTGATGTAATAATTGATAAAATGGTGGAAAACTAACTGTTGCTCAACATATGAGTGACGCAAACAATACACACTCTCAGCA